AAATTTAAGCTGTTAATGACCATCTCTCGGTCCCTGCATTCGTACATAATATTATACAGGGTCGGATACAAGTGGTAAGCTGTGTGGGCTGAAATTCACCTTCGATTGTATTTTATATTATACCTATAGACACATTTCGATTTGATTAAAATGTATAGTTTATTATGAAAAGGTTTAATATAACTATGGTCAAGGTGTAAGATTATACCTAATATAGTCTACTGTTGACTATAATTTCAGACAAAGTAATGTAATCATGTGCATTTTGGACTTGACCTACGTACGGTCATAATACGCGATTTGCGGACACAAATTTAAGCAATATAGCTACCAACCAAATCACTTAAATAGTACTCAATTATTAGGTTTATAGTTTAAAATATAACCATCATACGAAAAAAAGTCATAATCCTTAGTAATTAAGTAAATAATATTTTTAAGAAGTTTTTAAAAATTTTAAAAAAATAATTAAAGTTTTGTGGCCAAAATGTTTGTGAAGCACTAAACACCTTGGCTATAGTAGTAATTTCTCTTCTCGTAAAATTGCCGATATCAAACACAAGCGATAAAAAGTTTAAATTGAGTATTTATTGATTTCACGTCTGCAATTAGTAGGTATGTTTTAATCAAAACCCGTGTCTACGACTGTTGAATTTTATCCGAAATTAATATGCAGCTTTATAATCTTATAAGTTATGTCATAAATAATATGGTCGTGTGCATGAAGTTGAGGGTACACATAACATGATGCATGATTATAATTTATAATATATAGAACCTATATTTATCACAATAAATATGTGTCTGTAAAAATAATAGAAACGCATAGGCGATAATCGCCTACGAGTATGAAAGATCGATCAACATTTTCAGGACACGAGCTCATCCAAACCTTAAATACTTATAAATTAAAAGAACCAGCCACCTTTTAGACAATTAAATGAAATATGTATCCATACCTATGTTTAGTACATGTACTTATTTTGTACATGAACATATTTTTTTTTAGAAAACTAATGAAAAATTACATCGACGAATGGAACTAGTTATATTTTTAAGTTTCTTGAAAATTGTGTAACCGGTTACAAGTTACAATTACAAATTTAACTCGGTCAAGTAACTATTATTGGTATTCACGTTATGTGACTATAGCCCAATCTTGCAGTTTATGGTACTACCTGGTATGTTTATACCGTGGTATACCCGGGTACATACACGCGACTCCGCGGGTTTTTGATTGATCGTAACACCGGTGACTTGCGTGTGTGTCAATGCATGTATTATATTATTATAATATAATATTATATTGTGATCAACAAATGTATACGGCTAGAGTTTGCCGTTTAAAAATCCAAGGGCCGCTATTGCGCGAATGTTAACACAAATCGATCTCTGTCTTTTGACAATAAGCGTTGTTGGGTTATTGTAAACATTATATTGTTATAATAATTGTATATGTTATAATTTTATACTAGGCTTGTACGTGGCGCATTCAGAACAATAATCGCATCACGCACACGGTTGACCGAATAAGGAGAATATTATTGTCGAGTAAAACACTTTGAGTGGAATGGAATCTAGTTTACTCTCGTGCGTCGGACTCGTTATTATACCTCAGCTCAAAAGCCGAATAAAACATAATAATATTATACGTCCGTAAGTATAATGCACAATATATTGTATAATATATCGCTGGTGTACAAAGTACGCGATCGCAGTTCAGTGAGTTTATTATTATATTATGATGATATAATATATTTATTTCACAGATGCAGACGTCGGTCAGCGGCTGCAGATGTGCACATGTCATCGAGTTGATCATTTCTCTTTTACAAAATAAGTACATAACATAATATGTGGATAGCTTATATATTGTTGTATACAGTATAATATACTATTGGCATATAATGTTATGGACCCACGTCTCATGCGCGAGTCCATGGTCAGTTATTAACGACCGCACAAAAATAATAAACCTTTGCGGTTTATTGAAAACGTATAACGTCGTGTCAGTTTAGTCCATTGTAGGAGTGCTATAAGGGTGTCCAGCAGTCGAGCACTTTGTATTCCTATGGTGCCATGGTGCTCTTATATTGGATGTCACGCATACAATATTGTCTTGTATAATTGATTTTGAAATATTTTAAATTTAACATTTTTAAATTATATATTACATCATATTTACACTTGGGGTGGGTTCGTGAACTATAATCACTTAGTTACTATTTTTAAAACTATTTTTTTTTTTAATTTTCTTTTTAGAAGATCTAAGTTAAACACAATTTTAATATTTAATAATTCCCTTATTTTTTTTATGTATAAAATTGGATGTAAATTAGTAGGCGGTGTATATTTATATACCTGTTATATATTTCACTATATAATTATTTTCTGATAGGTACTTACGAACAGTGAAGTTGGTTCTTCTGAAAGAAAGGAATAGGGGTTATGCTCTTGTATTAAATTTTCAAGCATTAGCAATACAAATTTAAGACTATGCATTTTCAATATAGATATACTAATATAAAATAATTAGCAATAAATGTTGATGATTTTAAAGAATTTTGTCAATAACAGCTTATAGAGAATCGGAGAATATGTATCATTATTACCATGTATTTTCACATCAGTAAAGTACACAGATATTTTTAATGGGAGGGATTAAATTACAAGTTATATATCTAAATAGTATGTATAATGTATAATATATCAAAATATTTTCTGAATCGTGTTCATTTTTATGTGTCTATAGTCCATATTATAGTAACAAAAAAATGCTTAAGAAAAGTAGAAAATTTCAAATGATTATAAATGTCTCAAAAAGAAAAAAATTTTTAAAGATTATATCAAGTTTATATAAAATGGTTGAATATAAGCATTTTTTGAAAATGTATTAAGTTTCAACGGTTATTAATTTTTAATTAACAACTTAAAAACAAAATTTTTTTTGTCAAGCATGTTTTTGAGTAAGCATTACCGTTTTTTGTAATAATTTTTAAAAGTACAAACTAGATGCAATTTCTATTAGAAATCACCCCCTATAAGTTTAAGATTCAAGCATTTTTTCTGATCCCAAAATGTCTACCCCCTAAAGTAGTAAAAACACACACATCGTTACATATCTATAGTGTCATAATGATGTAAAGTCAATGGTATAAAATATGTGGTTTTACTAATGTGCATAAGTGGACTAGCGAAATCACTCAAAAACAATCAACCATGTTGATATTCATGATATCGATGTATTCACATAAAATTAATCATTTTATTTCATATTCTATTGTATAATATACGATTTTCTATTTACATTGCCTATGTTAACAAATAAGAAAAGATAATGAAATATAGGTTGGTGAAAATATGTTATTGTACCAATACACAAGTTAGCTAATTTTATCCTGTTGAAAGCAAAATCTTTTGAACCGTACCTATTCAACTCTGGTCAACTCTTTGATAAGCCGTACTTAATAAAATATGATATTTATTGGCTTATCATAGGTACCCCTTTCGCTAAATATTATACATTTCGCGTATGGCGCGGATTTCCGTAGCAGACGATATTGCTTACCGTCATCGTATAGTTGTTTTTTTTTTTTTTTAGAAAATCGTTGGTTTTAATTCATACTTTATGCTGTTATAATATTACCACGAGCAGCACCAACACCACTAGTATCATTATTATTAATATCACTTAGCGGTCGAGTCGTTTTCGACTACGTCGGCGCAGCAGACCAAATAGACGTTGCGGTTGTAGCTGCGGATCTATTGCTCTTCACGAACCGATGGTTCGATTCCGCGAATCGTGCCACATCGAAATAGTACAGGATTCCACATAGCGGATGACCCGACAATGCTTGTGTGCGTACACCGGCACTTGGTCATTATTATATTATTAATATTATTATTATTATTATTATTATTATTTTACTCGATTGCGGTTATGGCACGCCGTCGTGTCGGACGAAACGCGCCTTTCGGCGGGGTGGGGGGAGAGATTAAACGGAGGTTGTTATATTGGCCACAAGTACAAAAATATGTATTAAATTACGCGTATATCATGCGTGCCAGTTGACCCGTAATAATTACACGTTGTCGCGGTCCACACTCGATGAGCATAAAAATATTATGATATTGCGGAGAGAAAAATAATATGTTTGAGTATGTGTTCTGATGTGCGAAAGATAGAGCGAATGAGTGTGCAGCGTGAGTCGGCGGGAAACGTCAAATAATTGATCACAACATGAAATATACTGTAACGAAGGAGATTATTTTTTTCCTTTTAATTGCCAAGTAAAACAGTGTGCATGCGTAGTGTATTGTGTTATGCTCGTGTTTGGATATCGCTGCATTGTTTGCTCGTACAAGACAATTTTAGTTGGGTCGTTTGAAACTCGCGACGGCGTTTCAAGTATTAGCCGTCGTCAGGTGTACTAACGTTGTTCGTACTCATAATTTCATACATGCGTATTATAATAATATTATGATCGTACAAATTATTTATTATATTCGCGTGAAAGCAGCGACCGAAATTAAAAATGAGTTTTGCCGTTATATAGGCAACAGCCATTATAAATGTATTAGGTGGAGTAGGTGCCTCCACGATAGTATGTAATATATTTTTTTAACAATAATGTTTTCGGCGAATTAACCGTGGCTGCACGATTTTTCACCCCTCTCGACAACGCAAACGATTCCGATACACTGTTATTAATCCAACGCTATATTATTATTATCATATATAAAAGTCTCAGGTTGAAATGATTATTAATTTCCACCGAGAAATTATAATAATTTACTTTGTCACATTGTGTTTTACGGCCGACAAATCAATTGCATACCTACCTAAAGTTCGCGTCAAAAACCACACTGTACATATATTGTACAATAATCCATACGAATATAATGTGTATTATGTTGGTGTGCGGTTGGTTGAACTGAACAGAATTCAACACTGTTCAACTGTTGTGTACATTTGCTTATAATTAATAGAACACATGTCGTATGTCTTTTTATTTCTGTTTTTATTTTGTTTATAATAGAAGCAAAAACATAATATAAAATATTATAATTACATTCGAATATTTCGTAAATAGTTTTTAGACTTAATATAACAACTGGCAAAGTTATCTACACCGTCATCGAAACACTACGGACAGCGTTAATTTATAAAATACAATACCATTATAATATACAGACATACAGTTTAGGTAGGTTCTAGACACTATAGTAAGTTATACATCATAATGTTTTATTAAAGCTACGATATATTATTATTGTTTTCTATAAACACTGATTATCATAAAAGGTTTTCGTCTATAATTTTGTTTTATTTTGTACATTTGCTTTAATATTGAAATGCTATAATAAAATATACAACAGTATGTATATGTACATAGAAATATATTATATATACCATTTAAAAGTCTATATGAAACAGTTTTACAACGCGGAAAAGAAGTTTTATGCCTCGTCTCGTCTCCTCTTCGCAAAATTTAACGGTCCAACCATTGTTTCCAAACCTGAAATTAAAAAAAAAAATCATCAATTAAGTTTCCTATTATATTATATTCTTTAAAATTAAGATAGTGTAATTGATCCGAGAACTTTTATATTGGATATTTTTTCTTATTGTAATATTATAACGGATCACCCTACTCGACTGGAGGTTATTATTAACAAATTAGACACGATATTATTTCACGTCAATAACTCATTATAAATAATAAAATTGATTTGTCTAATAATAGGTATAAAGTAATAATCAAAATAAGGTTTCTGTGTATATTTTATAACATGGTGTAATTTATATTATAATCTTAAAAATAGTAGTCTATTATCAACTAAATATTGTTTTAGTTTAATTAAGCGTCAATACTCAATAATATTTTATTATAATATACAATATTATTTTAAATAAAAATATTTAAATCATTTTTTATGATTATAAATGTATATACAATTTATAAATTAATAATGATGGAAAACAAGGTTAATATGATAAAGCACTCATAAATTGTAATTTAATTACAGTATTGAAAATTGTGCATTAGTTGGTTTTAAAATTTGATAATACTATTTTTTACAACGATATATGGTATCATTATTTATAAATACGAATGAGTTAATAAATTTACTAATCACACAATTTCCGGGTATTGATTTTTAGAGAAAAACAAATTATGGGTTCTATTCCTTTTTATCAATACCCTCTACACAGTGTATGTTATGTTAGGTAAATCATATTGCGTTACTAACAATATTTACTGTAGATAAAATGCTATAACATTTCAATTTGGAGAAATAAAATAAGGAGCGACCACGAAGTTGTTTTTTTTTTATAAATTTGGTTTTTATACACACAAAGATAATGATATATTTTATAATATAATACCACGTTCTTGGTATGGGTAGGTATATAAAATACATAGGAATTTCAACTTTATTATATCATACAAGACGATGGGTAACAAAGTACCTACATAAAAAAATAAAAAAAAAATAGAAAAACCGAATCGACGGGTAAAAAAAAAATAATAATACCTAATAATAATAAACGTTGCTGTAAACTAATAATAAGCCGTTTTATATGGCGATTAGCGTGTGTGTATAGAGGTCAGAAGATGTGTCTCGTACACGAATGCACCATGCCCGTCGTCTAATATAATATATAATACCATGTAATATCGACGTGTATAACTAATATTTAGATTATAGTTTTTTTTTTCTCTCTATTATTTTTTATACCCTTGAAACACCGCTCAACGCACACACAATAATATACGCCTTATAGATCCACTGCCATGGCGAGGTCACCCGTACGGATAACCGGATTGTTTTAATATCCGAAAATATTAATTTATCACTGAGTCTATAATATAGTAGTCAATTAGGCAGTCGTGGATTGCCGTATTAACGCCATTAACCTCGGATACGAAATCGGTTTTACACAATTTTTTTTTTCCGATCCGCATAGAGTCTTCTCTATAAATATGATATTTTAAGCGGCGCTACGCATTCGAACATACGCGGGCGCTATACCAACTGCAGTTATTCCATAGATCAGACGTGTAATAAAATTTACATAATCCTTTAATAATTATGTTATAACATAAAGTTTATCTGAAGTTTGAGTCCGATATTATAATATTTAATATACGAATAGTATGATATGATATTATAGTGTATAATGTACATCATAGGTATGTAAATGCTAAAAATGTTTACCAAACTTGTTCCAATCGAATATGACGATGATAACAGTAATGATTTTGGTTTCTTGGTTTCTTTAATTAGATTATTTAAGTATTTTTCACAGAGTATTGAAACGCTTGACTTTTCTAAGAATAATAAAAACAGCGTACGAAAAAAAATCTTCATAGGTATATATACTGAATAATTTTCTGTTTTTATTTGATCCAGTTATTATCCCGGCATCTTACTGGAAATTAAATAAAAATACAAAATAAACCTCAATTACGTCGATGAAAACTAGATTATTCTTCGACTAATCGAACTGCATTTAGTGACTATTGTCTAAAGTACGATACCGTTAATTGCACACAGGTTTAAATTACTGAGACAGTGTGTGATTCACGTCCAATAAACAATCGTCTATTGATCGTAAGTAAGGTCCAAAATTGAGGATCATCCCCGGGGAAGACTAAGTTTTATTCGAGTAAAATAAGTTTCGCATTAAAGGTTTTTTTCATAAGTTTCAATAACTAGTGTTCGTTAAATTAAAATATGGAATTCGAGCCAAGGTGGCACCTTGAGTGGTGACTTCTAGTGTTTTCAATGAATTTTGTAATACCGGGTTTTTTTTTTATGGTCAAGTGGAAGCTGCGCGAATTCAGAATAATGTTTAAAGCTTAAAAACATAGACGATTCATTATGTTTATAAATAAAGGTGTATTTGAAAAAAAATTTAAAGGGCCAAAAAACACGCATCTAGTGCTAATCAAGCCCCCCGCCCTTAAATTATAAAGCATGATAAACCTTGCAGATAAAGCAGGACTCTCGGCGTCGTCGACAAAAACAAAATATGGTTCGGCTCGTTTAGGTACTTCGGGCGGCCAGCACTGCAGTATAGACACATCACGTGGTGTACGAGATCCAAAGCAATAACATTATACATATTACACGAGTAAAATATAACTATAACAAGTCTTGTGTCGTCGCGGTAATGGCCAAACGTTTATAATACATATAGGTACACGGCACACATGCACACGTGGTGGTCGTAATTTACTTTGGGCGTATATAGTAATAATAATATTCCATCGGGTTATTTATTTATTATTATTATTATTATTATTATTATTATTATTATTTCACCGCGTTCTTTGAGGACGCGACGTGTGTGCATTGCCCTCGCACGAACACGCAGACGCGTAGGTACCTACCCATAAAATATAGTAATGTTATATATAGGCCGTAGGTATATATATATATATATATATATATGTATACGGCAGAGAGTCCGAACAGAGCAGACAGCTTGACGCTGCGGCATTCCATTTAATGGTACAATAATATATAGACACACACACACACACACACACACACACACACACACACACACACACACGTCTCTTAGGCATATTACATACATGTAATAATATTATATTATTATGCGCGAGCATTATAGTTATGGCGCGCGTTGTATGTTGTGGGCCCCGCGTGTCTGAATGTCGGTCCGATGGTGGCCGTAGGTACACGTCATTTATAACTATACTCACGACGACTTCTCGACCGACACCATACGTGGGATATATCATACTATTATGCTCGTCCGCACGCGTTTGCCTACGAAATAATACTTAGGTATGAAATATATTACTGTTATTAAATTAGCCAATTACGCACGTACTATTATACGTACGTAATCGGTGGTGTAAAATTGCGCATACGTCTGTCCCTTTTCGTATATAGCACGACTCGGTATACGTTTGAACGATATAATATGATAAATATACACCGCAAACCCATCTACCGACCCTTGAGAAACATCACGATTTTGCGTACGAAAATGGGCGCCAACCTGTACTATTTATGCGGTATTTTCAATTCTCAAATACAATTTTGTTTTTTAAAAACAATTATTATGAATCATTCATAATTTCAAATAAACACAGTATAGGTATACGCAATGATATGAAGTACGCTGTACTGCAGCCAGCGATCTGCCATCGCATTCCGATCATCAGTAGCGTAATATTATAGTGTAATGTGCATTTTATGCGTATATAGTTAAGTTCCGAATTATAAATGATTTGCAAGGTTGCAGATGTGCTGTATCCACCATAGTTGTTGAGTTCGCGGACGACAAAGTGTCTAAAACCAATCGTTATAATATCAGATCGTACAGTTTACCCACGACTAGCTGACTGGAGTACCTGTCACTTTTTTATTAAATTAACCCTCTCATAGTACACTACTCGGGACTATACGTGTACAGCCAAAAATGTAATCTCTGAAATCGTTATATTATGATTGTGAGATGTTCGTAGAAGTATATATACAGTAAGTACAATGTATATAATAGTATAAAATAGTTTATATTAGTATGCGTATAATATGTAGGTTAATTATGCTCATTGTTATAAAATATAACATATAACAATTAGAAAACAACCAAAAAGCCTTTAATAAACACTATTCTATAAATCGACATAATCACTCAACACTCATTAGTTATTTTTTTAATAATTGACCACTCGGGACTCGGGATGCCTTGGATATGATAATTATTATATACGTATATCTATATATGTTTAGCGTTATACTCTGTGTAGTAATTATGGGGAGGGGCAGAGGTATCATTTTTCCCCACAGATATACTAACAGTACATCTATTCATCAATATGAGCACCTACAGGCTACAGTTTGTTTCCAAGATATAAAATATAAGTTTTTAGACTTGTGTAAAAACAAACAATATTAGGTATACATAAAATAAAAATATATTTAAGGCCGAAGTCTCAGAATTTGGATTTTGGTTAATAAAGAATTTTACCTCCTCCCTATGGTTTTTTACCCTGCAGTTGCGTCACTAGTTCTACTCCAAATGTATTCATCGCGGTTTTTAATTATAAGTGCCGTAAAATGGGATTTCTTGCATCTAATGATGTTAAGAAACTGTTATATACGTTTAAATGAAGTGTCTTTTTTAAAACTTAGACTTATTTAAATATTTTCTGGAGTATGACACACGCCACTCACAAAATAATGATGATATAGGTAATATTATAATATTATAAATCTACGCATATATAAAAAAGAAACACTTTGTTTATGTCTTATCGAATATGATATATTATAATAACTCCCAAAAACCAACTAGTTTGAATAACGAAAATATATACTGAAAATATGAAAAGAAAAATCATATGTTCGAATAATATTTTAAGTTATGAGCTTCAGTCTCTTCGGTGATTGTAAAAGTAGTGGGCCGTAATACTAGCACAATACATGGGTATAATACTAATAATACTATAATGTATTGGACATTTAAATATAA